TGAAGATCAACTTGCAGACATCTTTACAAAAGGGTTACACCACTCATGGCATCATGATTTATGTGACAAGTTGGGCATGATTGACATCTATGTCCCAACTTGAGGGGGAGTGTTAAAAGACTATTATTTATCTAAGTATAGTACCGCAGGGATACTCTTGTACTTTCCTCTTATTTTTTTATGTTTTGTTGCCCTAGTATATATATCAAAAGCTGGCGCCGCTAGCAACACTTTTGGCTCTCAGTTCTCTCTTCTCTCTTCTTCTCTCTTCTTCCATTCTTCTTTCCTGCATAACATACATAAACAATTTAAGGAGTGTATGATGTTGTTTTTCAAAACAAAACAAACATAACATAAGTGTTTTTGATTTCAAACAAGCAAAATCATAAGTAATGGCAAATTATATTAAGAAATGAAAGCATTAAGCATTCTAAGAAAAAACTTCTCTTGATTTTGTAAACACGACAACCACGATATTTCCTTCCCTAATCACAACTTTGATGGAAAACCCCATAATATCTGTCGTGATGTTCCTCTCTTCTAGCACCAGAGACCGGTGAGGTTTCCCGTAGAAAGTGAGGAGCAGCAGCACAGTAATCCATGTCACCACAATTGCAGGGATGGCAACGGCCAGCATTGCCACCATAGAAAGTAGACCGAACACGGCRCTGAAGAGCACCGAGGCGTAAAGAGCCGGCCACCCAATAGCTCCAGCTCCATTAGAAGAAGTGGAAGAGATGTTGGAATTGTACCAAGACAGAATGGAACGGAGGAGGTTCCATGACGAAGACAGAAGAAGAGCGAACACCAACACCAACAGGCACGCCCTTGCTCATCAATCTCCTTAACAAAACCTAGGTCTCTAAGTCTGAGGAGCTACTTTGCCCTTGTTCCTCTTCCTTCTTTTCTCCTTCAGAGTCTGCCACCGAAGCTTGATTTCTTCTGTTTTAGGTTGATTTGCTCTTTGTTTTATTCTGATTTCTGAGGAGAGTTTTGGATTGGAATGGATTTCCTGGGGACTGGGGTTCTGCTGTCTCTTCAAGACCCCACTTCAACTAGGCCAAGCCACTCAGAAGTCAGAGCAGAATAGTGAATAATTTTTTTTATTCACGACCCAAAAATTTGCAGAAGAAAGCAATCTAATCTCCTCCAAATATATTACAATTCCTAAAGAAACAACAAATATATATAAATAAAAGAAGAAAGAAGAAAAATCCTTCCTTTCTATTCTGCTCAGCTGATTTGCGAAGCGAAGCAAAGAGAATCCAAAAAAACAAAATCCTTTTTTGGGTTGAGAGTGAAGAGAAAGAGAGACAGTTGAGGGCTGGAAGTTCTGAGCGACAGAGCAACAGAGGAAGAGTGAAGATCGGCAAAATGAGAAAGAAACCCTAAATGAGCCTTTTTTTTCTCTAATTTGCCCGTTAGGGGTAATTTGGTCATGAGAATTATACTTATGCTGACGTAGACAACTTCTGTTAGTGAATATTAACGGTGCTTTAACGGAAGGTGAGTTTTGGAAAATAAAACTCATTGACATGGTGAGTTTTAGACATTTTGAAAAGTTATAGTGAGTTTAAGAGAAATACTGAAAAGTCATGGTGAGTTTTAGACAATTTCCCTTCTTTTATTATGCCAAACACCCAACTAGAAAAAAATAAAGTGAAACAAACTGCAATCAGTGGTTGTAACTTAACACATTTTCAGAATTACATAATTGTAGTAAATCTATACTTGCACAGGAAGGCATCGAGTACCCTGCTCTTCCATTTACCCAAGGTATAATATGGTTCTGAGGTCAATAACTTTTGCAGCTTGATGCCTACCTTGAGCTGCACTCAATATAAGTGGCACCTTCAAGACATCCAATTGATAATACAGCTAAATATCACCAATCACAATTACAAGGCTCCATTTTTGCCTCATCTAACACTGATACTCTGCAGCCAAAATCCTCTGAAATAATGTCCTCTATTGCATAAAAAATACCATATTATACTTCATTGTCCTTTACTCATAATCATCTAAGCCTTGTCCCAAGTCCCAACTATATGTGTTTAGTTATATGAATCCTGTTTGGCCATTCCATTCTATTTAGTGCCATATCCATTTTTAAAACTTGATAGTCCTTTACAAGGCTCCTATAGGTTCCTTCCATACGTCTGTAGATGGAAAGGAGCATTAGAAGGAAAAGGTGAAATCAAGTCCACTTCCTGTCATACATGGTCGGGATTCAGGACTAGATAGGGTCCCAATTCCACCAATACATTAACCTTACCATTGAACCTGACAAATAACCATGAGCATTCTTCAACTACAGAATTATTATCATCCGGAAACTTCTAGTATTGCAAGAAATAGTCCATATGTTAATAACTTTAATTAGGAAACAAACAAAAGGAAAAAAAAAGAGAGAAGAAATAAGCTTAATGTTCTTAATGAAGATACTTACAGAATTCACACCCATAAAGTTCAAGATTGGTTTCGATCCAAAAATTAGGAATATGGCTTGAAGGAGACCAAGTACCCCACCAATAACCAATGCTGATGACGCCGATGGAATATGTCTCTTCCCATGCTCAAACTTGGACATATTTGAATTATCATCAATTTTACAGACTGACTTGCATACATTTTGATCAGAACCTGAAGGGAGATTACCAGGAAATTCAAAACATTTTACCAAAGTGGTTGAGTTATCTAGGATGATACACATCCTGATAAAAAAAATAACCATAAGCAAACTAGAATATAATTCTAAGGAGTTGGAATGCATTCTGCTGGCCATACAGTCCTTTAACCAATAAAATAATTAAAGAACATACCAGAACGAGGAATCAACTCTTTCATCTCACTGTGTATAGATAAATCCACTTCTACATTTTCATTTTCTAGTTCTTCAATGTTTACTCTTCCAACAGTATCTTCCTCTGCAACAAAAGAAGTTGTGACACTGACAACTGGGAAAATTGCAATCCTTGATACTTGATTAAACACAGCAATAGAAACTCCCACAGCAGCAAGCTCCACTGGACCTATAATTTATGGATCAGAACAGAAACGTTACAATATAATCTACATTTTACCTTAATGATCATTAGTTACTCATAATTATTTATTGAAGAACTTCTTACAGCAAATTGGTTATATCAAGCAGGATGGTGACAAGGAATAAATGGTGCATGTAATCACAATAAAGATTGACTACATGGATCCTTGTGTTCCAATATAGGGAATTTGATAACATATTTCAATTCAATGACACTTGAGGCAAGGATCATGGAAAAGGGCTAAAGACTTAACACTAGAGGATTAAGCCTCAAATATAGGGTACATGCCTCATGCCTTTGGGTGCCTCACATTAAGTAGGTGTTCCTTACAAATTAATTGGAAGATAGGCTTCTCATCACAAAACTGAAAGAGCTAAAAAGTAAAATTTCTTTATTTTAGTTTATTCCTTTTAAGGTTTAAGTTAAAACTTCATTTATTAAATTGAATATATTTGGAGTTTCAAGACCCTTTTGAATTTTTGTCTCTAATAAGCATTGATTGGTTTGTACACACAGCAATTCAATACTGCTTTTATATATGCCATCTTTTGAAATCAAAGCTTGCAACTATTATTTACCTTTTGATGTTAATTGCAGACCATACATTATTCCTTGACAGATTCTTAGTTGATATGAATATGTAATAATAAATTTTCTGGAAAAAGGTGTGGATATATAGCTGGTGACGATTATGTTTGATGGTTTTTGTGGTTGATGCCGATGATGTTTTTGTGGAACAAAGACTGGTAGAGTCTTAACAGCATTAAAATAAGAATAACACAGAGGTTCAGGACAAGATGACTGACAGGGGTAGAGGGTTTTGAAAGCTTTCGAAGATCTGGGGCGAGGTGGAGGGAAGTGTTGGTCAACCGGATAGAAGAAGCTGGAAATAACAGGTGGTGAGATAGCAAAGAATAACTTCCTGTAGAGAAAGTTTCTCTGAGAGAAGCTGGTTCAAAATGATAGGCAAAGAGAGAGACACTTTTACAGACAAGGCAAAGTTATTAGAATGGTCAACAAATAGAGATGTTAGTATAAAAGTCGATACTGATTGTTTCTATTTAGTATCGGATGATTGGGGTGAATTTAAAAGGAGGTGTCTGGAAGCTTGTTTGGTGGGGGTGGTGGAAACCACATACTTAGTGAGCGATCTGTAGTGGTGGGTGGCAAGATGTTGGAATGTGACTTTGGGGGTAAGTGTTAGAAAGCTGGCAAGAAGCAAATTCCTTTTCATACTCCCATCTAAAGGAGAAGCCAACAAAATTATGAAGACTGGTACAAGAAATGTGGGGGGATCTCTCTTACATCTCTACCCCTGGAGGACTGGGGATGTTGGCGGAAGGAAGAGGGAATTCGAAATGTCTTCTGGTTCTGGATGTTCAGGCTCCCACTTCATCTATGGAGTGAGAGCATGGTGAAGAAGATAGGTGACATGTGTGGTGGCTGGTGGGTACCTGGAGACTTACAATACAAATGAAGCAAACGAAACAATCAGATGGATCATAGTAAAGGTGAAGTTGAGAGGTTTCCCACCGATGGCTATGAATGTGTTCAATGAAGGACAGGGAAAGTTTGTTGGGGAAATGGTAGAGATGCGTGGAAGAATCAGGTTTGAGACACGTGGGAAGATCAAGGCATGAGGAAGGAGAAGGCAATCTAGGTCGTTTGTGGCCTGACAAATCCATTATGGTGATTAACAATCAGGAGTAGAGCGACAGGAGAGTTCAAAATTTAATTTGTTTGAAGAACAAATATTAGAGCAGGTGATGGACAGATGTTTAGAGAGGTTGGGTATTATGGTGGGATAGGAGTTAAGGAGAGGGATGAGTAGGGTAAGAAGAAATTGACATCATCGATCTTGGAGTAGGGGGGAGGGCATTAGGAAGTTAGTATGGGGGAGGGGGAATCTCGAAGAATGTGGTCAAAGCAGAGACTCAGAAGGCAGGGAGAGGTTTTAGAGTTTAGAGGGGAGGGGCAGGTGTCAAGAGTTATGTTTAGTTACAAGTGGGTGGACTGAGGATGAAATGAAGCCGAGTTGGGCAGAGGGGGTTTTGGGTACAAATCAAACCATCCAAGCTTCAACTTTTAATGAGGGAGACAACCCAAATGAAACAGGAGACTCTTCAAGATTCTCAAACCAAAGAGAGATTGAAGCTCCTGCCATTTCATTGTCTACAAAGGAGATGCAGGAAACTCCACCAACTGGTCAACAATCATCAAATAGGAATGAAGAGTTTGGTATGAAGAACTGTGCTACTTAGTAAAAAATGCAAGGAAGAGCCATTTTTGTGTGTAAAGAAGGGGAGTTGATGAAAGTAGGCCTATCACAGAAGATAAGACCAATTACAATGGTGCCATTGCCATCAGGAAAGTGGCATGAGATTGAACACGAGCAGAATAACAATCAAATTTTGAAAGCACAATCGGAGACAAATAAGTTCGGAAACGAAGCAATGTCCCCTTGGGTTCTCTCTAAGTTACAATCCTTTGGGGAATTCCTTGGAGTCTCGATCAAGGGCATTAAGTCAGCAACCATTAACTTATTAAATGAAATAGAAAGGAGAGAGAAAGAGAAAAAAGGGAGGAAAGGCAAGAGAACTGATAGAGGAAAAAGATTGTGGGAGGAATGAAATATAACAGGGCCAGCAAGTCATGTGTTCAGCAAGAAGCTAATCCATGTAAAAGTCTAAATTGAAACAGTGGAGTAAACAGAATTTTAAAGGCCTAGAAGCAAAGAATGAATACCTAAAAGAAATTGTTGAGGTGGATAGAGCCAAAGAGTAGAGGGCAATTTCGGAAGTAGAGAAACAAAGAAGGGCAAAGGCAAAATTGGAGTTTGGCAAGGTGTGCTACCAAGAAGAGATTAAGTGGATGCAATGTTCTAGGTGCTTGTGGCTGAAACTAGGGGACGAAAACACAGCTTTCTTTCATAAAATGGCTAATGGGACAATAAGACAAAATCTTATTAAAAGATTGGAGGAAGGGGGGTAAGTGATTGTGGGGGAAGGATGGATTAGGAGCACAGTCACAAACTACTATCTTTATAAAGAAGGGTGGACAAGGAGGCCAAAGTTGGATGGTTTAAATTTTAAGAGCTTATCTCAAGAAGATGCCAATCAACTGGAAGCAGATTTTTCTGAAAAGGAAGTATACGATGCAATTAAAGAAATGGAAGAAGATAAWGCACCAGGTCCAGATATGGATTCACAATGGAATTATTTAAAAGATATTGGAGTTTCATCAAGGAGGACCTAATGAAGGTGTTTAACAAGTTTCACCATAATGGGGCCTTGGAAAGAAGTCTGAACTCTAGTTTTTTTGTCTCTGATTCCCAAGAAGAAAGGGGTGGCAGGAACATTTCAGGCCAAGAAGTCTTGTTAGCAGTGTTTGCAAAGTGTTAGCTAAGGTGTTATACTGTTATCTAAAAGAATGAAAGGGGTGATGGGGAAGTTGATCTCAGAGTCTCAGTGGTCCTTTGTTGAGGCATATTATTGATGGGGTTCTAGTAGCAAATGAGTTGATTGATTCCAGGATAAGAAGTGGGAAGAGGGGGTATTGGTTAAAGTTGATATGGGTATGACCACGTAAACTGGGATTTTTTAGACTACATGCTTAAGAGATTCAACTTTGGTAGAGGGTGGAGAAACTGGATAAAGCTATGTGTATCTACAGCACACTTCCCAGTTTAGGTAAATGGTAGTCCAGCAGGAAGGTTTCATAATTCTAAAGGATTAAGATAAGATGATCCCCTTTCGCCTCTGCTTTTCATTTGTATAACAGAAGCCCTTAGCACAATGGTGGACACGACCCATTGACATCCCTAGAGCCAATAAAGCATTAAATGGTACAGTTAAGTATAAATGGCAAGATGGTACTTGGTAGTTGGGAGGCTGCCTAATAATCTTTATATTCATGATGATTTAGAAGCTGTTTTCAAGGTTCACATAACAGAAAGTCCTGCCATTTAAATAAAGATAGAGAATATAAAGGAAATACCTATTTGGCCAATGAATGCTGTATCAATAAGAGAAGCAATGGGGTCGGCTGTTAAAGCCAGTGCCGCAGGAAATGCAATCCTTGCTATCTCCAAGCCAAGTTCATCCAATGCAAGAGCAGACCTTGTCATACAATTACAAAACTTAGCATCAGGCCTTGGTTGTCCTAGTAATCTTCTCCCTTTTTCCCCATTAAAAATTGAGGAACTTAGAGAGTCCTAATCAACCATTTAAACAAAACACATGCAAGAGAATGAAATGGTACCTTGCATTCTTGAACAAAATTGAAAGAAACATTTTTTTCTTTTCTTTTCTTTTCTAATGGATACAGATCAGCATCCAGGGCTATAAATAGAACCACGTTTCACCTGAACGTTGTAAAAGATAATTTTGATATACAAGCGTTCCACAAGCATCAATCTCAATCAAGTCTCATTGTGCCAAATTGGCAACTCAAAATAGCACAACGAACAAGTATTACAATCTGCAAATTCAGAACCATCCAATTATAGGCAATTGATAGATTGATTAGAACAAGAAAGTGTCTATCCCCAGTTTCAAAAGCAAACCAACATCAAGATAGTGTAGTCAAACATAATCAAATTCCCCAAACAGATAAAATTAAAATCGTGCAAAATGAAACAGGGAATTGAAGCTGCATTCCGGAAAAAAAAAAACAAATAAATACCAAGTATTGGGGCCTAAAAAAATTAGCCTTCTGTTAAAGAGGTTGCATAGACCTCCCTGGTTTCACCAGAGCCATCAAAAGATTCAAACAATAGCCTCTAAAATCATAGTTCATGCAAATTCAAACATGTAAAGCTATTAGAGAAACTCCAATCCTATCTCAGAATTTCCTAACCACCTATCCAAATTCCAACACAACAAACAAGAACCTCGTTGGAGAATGATGGAAAAGAGGGCAGTTTGCTTCTTTCGGTTTCCGTCAGAGGAGTCCCCAGATGGAACCTCAGTTTTGAAATTTCCGTAGGACCCACTTTTGGATGAAGACATATTCCAGTAAAGGAGGCAACGAAGCGCGAGGTCGGATCTGCTCCTGATACAGCACCCCTCACACCGACCTGACAGCAAGTTTAAGCCGTACATTGGGAACATCTTCCCATAAATAAATATTTTCAAGTACGAAAATGTTTCAGATGCACGGATAAACGTACTGTGAGGTCGGCGTGAGGCGCGATCCGTGAGGAGCAGATCTGAACTCACGCGCCAACGCCAAGTAGAAAGCGTAGGTATCGAAAGACGAAGTAGAAATACAGAACGAGGAAGAGCCAGATGTCAATCACCGCTCAGGCTAGACGTTATAGAACTGTCGGGATTCCAACAGCTTAATAACATATAAAATGTAAAGCTATTAAACTCATATTCTGGATTTACAATTTATATACTATGCCTTAACGACGAAGGTTTTGTTCCCATCAGAAGAAAAGAAAAAGTAAAAAACGACGAAGGTGCGCTGGAAGAACTCCAGAGATGAACCTGTCTAGGGTAATTCAGGCCAGAAGGAAATATGTTTCTAAATAAACAAATCACGCAGTCCTTTTTTTATGCCAAGGAATTCAAAAACGAGACGACGAAAAGAGCAAACCACAAAAAGACGGAAACAGGGGGCGCGAATTTGAATGAGAAGAAGGTCGTCAGTCGTCACTCCCGACCTTCGGAAGATGTAAGTGATTGAAGCTACAACCCAGAGATTGAAAGTTGAAAATGTTGATGATTTGATCAAACAATGATCGGTGGGTGGGTGTGGGGTGAATTTCAGATTCCACTGTTGTTAATGGGTAATCTCCAATCTGGTTCTACAGTAATGGCATTTCCTTCCTCACTCTTTTTCCTTTCTCGTTAAGAAGGATTAACTGTGACCAGTCGGAGTTTACCCAAAATCTGAATGTAATCCGGCGACAAATTGAACCCTGTTTGATCACATCCTTTAATAACATCTTTTAACCATCTTTTTAGAAAATTCTGTCGTAATTGTGGTTTAGAGCGAAATTCTGAGTTCGGATGGATTACCCTCGCAGGGGCTCATTCCCCGTGCATTTGGAACATCTCCCCATGATAACATACGGGAGATGATCCCGATGCACGGGGAGATGTGCGTGTGCGTGGTGCTCTGTGGGGAGCCCATTCGAATTCGCTTTGTCTGGTAAAATACCCCATGAAATAGTCAAGTGCCAAAGATCAGATCGGCGCCCCACAGCACCTCCTGGGAACATCTTCCCGTTATGAGCACGAGAGATGTTCCCATTGCACGGTGAGATGTATATGTGGGCACGGTGAGATGTTTTCATTTTATCTATTTTTGAATTTTATGTTATTGGAATTATTAATTTATTATGTATATAGATTTAATAATTAAAAGAAAGAGAATTGAATGCATTGAATATCTTAAAATTACTTATTTTCAACTCATTTAATATCAAAAACCGATTATCCTATTTGCCCTTATTTTTTATCAATAAATTTAAATATTGAGGGATCAATTTTGTACTAAGAAAATTTCATAAATATTCTTGTGGCTATTCGTGCTTTTTAAAGTAGTATAGATTTGCACTCCAATGCTTTTACACCAGGGCAAATTCTATGCAAGTGCTTATCTAGTTATCCTGTTGAGAAAATTAAATCAAACATGAGCAACTTACATGAGAGAAGATTCTTGGAAGGATATACTTCAAGAGACCCATGTGATGCTTGCAATGGTGTTAAAAAATTCCCACATTCTATAAAGCTGTGTTTTGATTTTATAAAAATAAGAGAAAAATAGAAAATTGAGGGGAGGTTCTTAAAGAACCCTCAACTTTTTGCTTCTCTTTTATTTTCTATCAAACCAAACATAGCCTAAGGGAGTGATTGGATTCGGTCTTTTAATAAAAGGGAAACTGAAGGTTGTGGTTGAATTTAAATAGCCCAATTTTTAAAGTTTTTKATTATTTCTCTATAAATTCAAAAAGAAAAACCCACAATTTTTAAGGAATTGAGAAGCAAAGGAAGGAGAAAGAAATAATTTGACATGGACCTAGACCACTTCATATTATATCTAAGCGTTTATTAAAAAAGAAAGATATGACTATTGTGATTATATCTATATGCCGCTTGATGTAATGCCCAAAAGCAAAGACCACTGTTTGTTTATGGGAACAATGTACTGTGCCAAGCAAGTGGGAGAAGTGGGTATTTATCAAATCTATCCACCAACTACAATATGACTATGTTCCTAGTGTCCACTGGTGCTTTTTTGACACACCCATTACTATATATATTTTTTTGTTATCTTTACATCCATTTGGGCATACATTATACAATTGATAAAGAGGKGACTCAACCAACAAAAAGGCAAAATATATCCTTGTGCATATGATAGAAAGCTGCTTTATAAGAATGTCTTTTATGTTTTCCAAAGAGTACCTTTTGACTATTGATGGATCAATATTGGAATATGCCCTGATGAGGAGTTGAGGATTTTCACCCTTTTCAGTTCTCAAAAACCCATCCAAATGAAGTAGACCAAAGCTTTTATGAAATTTGTTATTTTATGGTGCTTGGTTTTACCCTAAACATAACAGTGGAAATAAATTTTTCCAAAAAAAAAACGAATTCTTGTGTATTTTTTTTAACTATTTTGGTTTATTTTTCCTAGTGAAACATGACTAAATTCTTAATCTGATTCATTCTTCAATTGAATATCATTTTCTAGGGAACGAGCCGTTTGTATCAAGTGCAGTCTAAAGGAAAACAAGGCTTTTCCCTTGTTATCTAAAATAGGGTGTGCTAGTACCAGCACCATTACTTTGGTTGTAGTAAGCATTTTATGTGCAAGTGCATGTTTTTATGAATACTGAAAAGATAGACCCTTCTTTGTAATTTGAAAATTATTCAACTACAAAAAAAAAAAAAAAAAAAAAAAAATAGTACTGTGGTTTAAAAAGAAGGAAAAGTAAAAGAGAATGGCTTTTCTAGGTCTAAGAGGGTGTTTCTATACAACCATCATGTTCATGGTTGTCCTTTATATAATAGAAAAATGATTTAGAAACTAGACTAGCCATAACCATACAACCTGATCTGACCATGGTCCAAAGCATACACAATGTGGTAAAATATTAAGTGTATGTTTGGTTCCATTGGCGTTTAAAGAGAGGCCATTTATTACTTTAAATGTTTATTTGTACTGTCTTACTTTAAATGTTTCTTGTTTTTTTATTTGGTTCCGTATTACTTTAAATATTTTTTGTTGTCTACCTCAGATTAACACCCATAAAAGCATGTCACATTAGCATTTCATTTCAAGAAATGCTAGGGTGTTAGGGGAAATCAAAATTTGACGTCTTCTCAAATGCCCCCATGCACAAAAATCAAAGCATTTCAATTTCTTAGTGTTTATTTGATAAATGGTGAAACCAAACAATGGTTTCATATGCAATAAACACTAGAAACTTAAATGCTTTGATTTTTGTGCATGGGGTATTTGGGGAAACATCAAATTTTCATTTCCCCTAATGCCCCGTCATTTCTTAAAACAAAATGTTGATGCAACATGTTTTTATGAGTGTTAATCTGAGGTGGAAAGCAAAAAAAACGTTTAAAGTGATGCCCAAAAAACAAAAAAAAAAAAAAAAAATGTTTAAAGTAAAAAACGTTTTAAGATAATATAAATAAATATTTAAAGTAATAAATGACCTCTCTCTGTAAATGCCAAAGGAACCAAACATATACTAAATCTCTCTCAAAACTATTTCACTATTATTTTTTCTAAATTGAATCTCTATGGAACCAGGTGGTCGATATATATTTTTTTTCTTTTATTAACAAACAATTTAATTTAGTTGGTTTGATCAGTTTGTTTCAATAACCAACCCAGAGCAATGGACCAACTTATCTTGGTTCAACTCAGCTTGATGGTAAAAATTGTAGATTTTGACGGTGTTTAGTCCCGTTTACGTTTATTCAATAAACACTTATTGGTGGTCCCGTTTACGTTGATCAGCCCCTTTACCACAAGCCAATAGCTTTCCACCAGACGCCTCCAACCCCAAGCCAGATGATTATGTTGACAATGGAGATGAGGAACTGTAGCCCCACCATTTAGCCAGTGGCACATAGTTGGCATCATAGAAAACTGGGGCAGAGCCAATTCCATAGTGAGTGAGGCCACCCATGAGGTTGGAGAAGAATGAGAGCACCATGGTCCCAAAGAGTGGTGGAGTGCCCAGGGCACTTGCCACAGATAAGAAGGCTGTGAACATGGCTCCAATGTAGGCAGCACCACTAGCAAAGAGGTAGTGAGAGTAGAAGTAGAGAAGAACCAGAATGTCAAACGAAAGCTGCCATGACAGACCGAGTCCTCCTACAAACTGTTAGAAAGAAGTTGATTTAGTTACATGTTTAAGTACATAAAAGTAACTAAATCACAAACATTGCTAATCCAAAATATATCCTATATCACATGCAACTG